TGCGGTAATGACGTAGCCCAGGTTTGCCGTGCAGTGGATATACGATCCAGTTAAGGTCACACAAAACAAAACTTGCGGTAATGACGTAGCCCAGGTTTGCCGTGCAGTGGATATACGATCCAGTTAAGGTCACACAAAACAAAACCAGACTGGATGTGAACTAWAGAAGGGAGCAGGATTAACCGTTTCTCGTTCTGAGACGTGCATTGGCAGTCGAGATACAGAGTGCTCGTGTTTAAGAGAGCTTGGGGTGGAGGGGGTATGCTTTGAGACGAATAGCAGGATTAAAGGGAAAGAAAGTAAACTTCCACCGTGATAAATGCAGCGAGTAGAAACAGGCTGACCTAGAGTAGAATAGAGTAAGACATTCACAGCAGATTAACAAAGCAAATACAAGCGACTGTATAGATAAGATAGAAAGCAGTTTATTGACTCAGCGTTTATACACAATAAAGCTAACCAAGCTCATTAACATCTTTTGCTGGGCTGTTTACAGAATATCCAAGGGATGACAGGAACTCCAATGGTGGCCGCTAGYCCGGAGAGACACGACGGTGGTTTGCAGGCGAACCCCGTGGAGGTGCAGAGTTACCAGCCGCCCTGGAAAGTACTGAGTGACTTCGCATTGCAGAGTGACATAGACCAACCTGCTTTTCAGCAACTAGTAAGTGTCGGTTCCCAGCCCGAGGCAGCCGGTACCCGGGTCAGAGCAATGGGCGATTCACTCCAGGTGCCAGATGCCCTCAAAGAGACGAGGAATCCAGACTAGCTGGGTTTTACAGAAATTGCAAGGTGGGCATGACTGCATCTGTAAAAGGAGAGAACTGATTTGATTTCACAGAGCTTGGTGCAAAATCTGCCTTAGTGTGCAGCAGAGATATTGCTGAGTTGAGTGTGAGTTTGGATAAGGCCCGACTCAGGTCTGATAATAGCTTGCGTCCTCCTGCAAAACTGAAAGCACTTCACTAAAACACTCTTTATATGTCACTTAATTGTACTTACATTTGTGAGMGCAGTTTCTAGAATTCACCGCTCCTGACTTCAGGCCAATTTTGCCTTTGTGCTGTAGGATGAATTTTTAAATACACGATTGCAATATGAGTCAGGGCCCTCATTTTGTCACACAAATATGAACCTCTTAATTAAAATTTCAAAGTCCTTGTCTTAAGCATGTACCTCTAGATATAACTTTATGTATCTATATATACACATGAAGCTATACAAATGTATACATATATATGTGTATATAGCTTACATAGTGGTTTTTGGAAAGGAAATTGCTAGTACTTATTTAGGTGAAAAATTCCTGCAATATAATAAACTACCTTAAGGCAAAAGAATTTATTTTAGAATAAATTCTGTTCTTAACTCACTTCCTTATGCCTACATCACTTGGCAGCTCATGTGGGACCATATCACCAAGAGTACTTAGGCCCAGCAAGGTGAATTAAGGAGAGAAGTTCAGTCATAAGTAAATTTCATGGCCTAAATGTGTTAAAACTAGGTCTTTAAATTAATWAGATATGTTGTGTATGGTATTTCAGTGATTCAGAATGATATTTATGGCAAATTAACGTGTAAACATTTTTTTGATCTGTTGAGCTTTATTTTCCCTTTTACATCAAGCAATGGGAGACAAAGGTTTGTAGTTGAACCTAGCACTGTGTCCAGACCTTTTCGATTTAGTATCATGCTCTCCTGCAGAATCCCTTTTCTTTTGCCCAATAGCAGTCTGCAGTGTGGGCAAACACTATTCTYGCTCAGGAAACTGTAGCACAGCAGCAGGGCTATTTGCATCCTCTTACATCTGAAACAACCATYGCTTTTCCTGCTTTAATCAAGTTGTCCATCAGATGGGAGAAAAAATTATCTCCTTTGGCTGCTTTACTTACTGTGCCTTAACAAAATATGAGACTTCAAAAATCTTGGATGCAGTGAGTTTTTGTATTAAATTGTTTGAGAAAAGAAAAAAAAAAAGCAGGATGGAAGATGGATAGTCCAAATATACGTACACAGATGGGTAAATAGATCATTAGGTTGACAAATTAATATTGACATACATTAGACATAGTATGTGATACTGAAAAGAGTTAAAGAACAGTGAAGGAACAGAGCAGACAGCTCATTGGCCGTTCAAGGCAGGGCTCTAATCTGGAAAGGGCCTTAATCACAGAATTGGCCAGCTAAATAGGTGCCAAAGAAATGCTTCTGGATTAGCAAAGCTCCACCCTTCAAGTCATGCCTTTTCCCAAGGATACTGCTAAACTAACAGGAGCAGCAGGGCACATTAGGATGGAATAGTGTGACCTTTTTTATCAAACTGACTCTCATTAAGAAGAGATAGCACCAGCATCAAATCACGATTGAAGGAGGATGACTGGTTTCAAATGCCTCCTGCTCCTGGATGCTCCTTCCAGGTTTATTTTGGTACATGCACAAAGGAGGAAAAAAGTAATCTTTAAGTTTCATGTCAAGAAAACACATGCACTCCTAAATAATTGACTAGAACATCCTGTTGGGATTGCCACTCTCGCAAGACAGGGAAGAAGGCCTCATTAATAAGTTTGTTTGTTTATTTGCTTGATTTTTTCAGTCTTCTTTTTCCATTTTTTTAATCTACTTTTTCTTGGTGATTTGGCCGAAGGCCTGAAGAAGGTTCCTGTGAAGTCAATGGGGAAGCTAAACAGAGCAACCAGCAGTGACACAGCCTCCTGTGGAGATGTATCAGGCCTATTGGCTGCATGCCTTGTGTATTTATTTTTGTGTTCTTCTTTGCCTGCTATTTTTCTTTGAGTTTCACAGTTGTAGAA